CCAGTGAAGCGACGTCCTCCACAACTAGACTGAAGAACAAAAAGACAGCAACTTGTCTGTTCCCCTTCCCCAATTCCCCAATGCTGTTCCCCTCCCCCAATTCCCCAATAAAATCTTTTAAAAAAAAGTTGAAGCAAATATGGCAAAACTGTTAAAACACTTTAGTTTAGGTGACGGGTACATGGACATTCATTATAGTCTTTTCTCCAGTTTTATGTATCTTTGAAATTTTTAAAAATAAAGAATTAGGAAAAAACAACAATTACCCTTTATTTTCAGAATCACGAGCCACCATTACAAACGTTGCATCCAAAACAGGACTAAATTCATTGCCATGTGACTGAAGAAGAAAGAAAAGAAAATGCAAATGTAAGAAACGCATTTCCTGGGAAGACCTACTATAGTTCTAACAGATACCATGCATGTTTTGAGACAGGCCGAAATTAGAAAAAGAGAAGCATGTTCATTAATCACCAGCTGCTATGTTGCCAGGCACAGAACTAGGCTCTGGGTGGGAATGGCAGCATGACCAAGAAGCCTGGGGTCTAACAGGAGAAAAACACTCCAAATCCCAAACAGTACCCAGTGCAAAGTGTGGTGAAGGATCTGAACTAGGGGCTCAGAGGCTGTGCATAACTGGGACCCGAAGGCCAGGGGCACAGAGGGACTTTCCGCATCATCACTTCACTGTCCTGCATCGTGCCAAATCCTGGCGATCTTCAGGCCTACCTGTCCTCACAAGGGCACACAGAGCCAGGTGGGCCTCCCACCACTCTCACAGACATATTTTCAGGGAGCTTCAGTGTGCCAACTATCAGCACATGTATGTTTCCTTAGCCCAGCACAGGGGCTCCCAAGAAGGGACCACATCAGTGAGAACTCTGTGGATTAAGCTATAATATTTATAACGCACAAGCCTTGGAGGTTTTAAGGTGTTTCTTTATCCCCTAAAGTCTGTACTTCCAGGTCGGTCATATCATAAAGGCATACCATAACCTGAGGGTGCATTCAGTTCCGTCCTCATCACTGCTGTCTGTTCAGGCCCTGTCACCTTCCCCCTCGACTTTCTTCCAGCATCTGGTCTAAGCCTGTTGGCCAGTATAGAAAGCCCTCACCAGAGCCCACATTCCTCTTCAGGGGCGCACAAACACCCCCGCCTGTACCCTTTTCCCCTAGCTACACTAACAATGTGGAGGTCCCAAAATGGACCCCACTGTCGAATGCCTCCCCTCCATCCCTTTTTTTTATTAGTTTCAGGTGTACAACACAGTGCAATACTTATACTTTTTACCCCTCAAAGTGATAACGCCCCTCCCCCAATCCACTGCCCCACTCCCCCCCCATATCATATGTATTACAATTCCCTTGACTCCACTCCCACCATATACTCCACATCCCGTGACTATATATATTCAATTATAGTTGACATACAATATTATACAACATCAGCTTCAGGTGTCCAGTGCAGTATCAAGCCTCTACCCCATCCATGATGCGGTCTCCCTAGCAAGACATGTGACCACCTGACACCCTACAAAATACTTACAACATTATTATATTCCCCGAACTGTCTTTCATGTCCCTGTGGTAATATTGTAGTTACCCATTTATGCTGTATAACCCCTCCCCCTTCTCCCTCATCCCCACCCCCTCCCAACTCACAGCCATCAGTTGTTCCTCTAGATCTCTGAGACTATTTCTGTTTACTTTGCTCGTTCATTCAGTTTTTTAGATTCCACATATAAGTGAGATCATATGGTGTTTGTCTTTCTCCGACTGACTTATTTCACTTAGCATAATGTTCTCTAGATCCATCCATATCATTGCAAATGGTATGATTTCATTCTTCTTTATAGCAGAGTAATATTCCGTTGTATAAATGTACCACAGTTTCTTAATCCAGTCGTCTACCGATGGGCATTTCGGTTGTTTCCAAGTCTTGGCTATTGTGAGTAGCGCCACAATAAACATAGGGGTACATATATTTTTTCGAATTCGCGTCTTGGGTTTCTCTGGATAGATACCCAAGAGTGGAATTGCTGGGTCATACGGTAGGTCCATTTCCAGTTTTTTGAGAGACCTCCATACTGATTTCCATAGTGGCTGCACCAATCTTCCCCTCCATCCCTTTGCCTCATGCCTTCCTCTAGCTAGTTCCCCGGAACACTCCTCTCGGCCACTGTCCCTGCCCTCCGCCCGAGGCACAGCTCATCCTTCCCTCCTTGGTTTGCCAGCTAATGGAAACGAAGTCGTCTCCTAAAGTGGGTTCTCAACCTAAGAGAGGTGGATACCACCCCTGTAGGGGGCATCTGGAAATGCACAGGGCTGGTTAGGGTGGCCACATGACTTGGGGAACATGACTAGCAGAGTGGGGGTAATCAAGGAGCTAAACACCTCACAATGCAGGGGACGGTCCTACAGAATGAAAAAATTTCCCACATACAATGCTGATGCTGTCCCTGTTGAGAAATGCTGTGTAATACTTAACACACTATATCATAATCACTTAATGATGTGGCTGCCTCCCTATGGCACCATGAACTTGAGGACAAAGACCATTTTCATTCACATTTGTAGCCCAAGCACTTAGCACAAAGACTGGCAGAGAGCAGGTACCCAATTAATGACTGTCTGATGTATGAACTGAGGCACGCAGTGATTGAGCCCTGCTGGGATATAAACTCCAAGAGAGTGGAACTGTGTTTTGCTCACCACTGTACAACTAGCACAGAACAGGCATGCAATAAATGACTGCTAAGTGATCGTTAAAGAAGTGGACTCAGGAAGTGGGCTAGGTTACTCCCACCTCAATCCCGTTGGGGAGGAGCACATGGTCTAGTGGAAGAGAAAACATGTTCACACGCAGCTCTATGGAGCAGAGCTTAGCAGGTCAAGGAAAGGCTACTCAGGAAGGCGTCATGGGAAGGAACAGGTACTATGAGAAGGGAGGGAGGGGAAGGATTTGAGCAGGGAGTGACCCGGAAGCACAGGTGGAACGCAGATACGCACGGCGAGAACACAAGGATTCCAGGCAAAGGGAAAAGTGCACGCAATGCTACTCCTCCACTCGCTTACTGTTTAAACTATCGTTTATTATAGTGAACACCTACTAGTGCCAAGCATCAGGAGTGAAACGATGAATGACTCCCTGCTCTTAGGATACTCAGTGTCCGGCAGCGAGCTCTCTAAGAAGGTATATAAATGATGTCGGAGGGAAGGCAAGTTGGCACTAACTTACGGAGCTCCTGGGATCCTAACTAGTCAAAGGATTTTACACTTTAATCCACAGATAATGGCCACTGCAGATTTTTGAGAAGGGGAGCGACGTGATTTAAGATCAGCTTTGGAAGATCTCTTTGGCGAAAACATGTAAAATTAACAGAGAGAGAACAGGGGCCGGCCGAGTGGCGCG